GCCGCGCTTGTACTGTATTTCAAAGTCGAAGGCAGACAGCGTCTCTATCCACCGAGCCAGTACGCCCGTAGGGCTGCGGAAGTTGTACAGCCACTGCAAGCTGGCGTGGTCAGTTCGAAGCCAGAATCTCTTGCCCAAAAGATAGTGCTTGAAATGGGCGACGAACAAAACGCACGCTAGGAGCTCTCTTTTTGTCGCCGAATAGTTGCGCTGTGCTTTTGACAATTTTTTACTGCCGTAGGCAATGACCTTTTCCCCCTCCGGCGTAATTTGCAGGAGCACCGCGCCCACACCGGTACCTGAGGCATCGCACTCGAGTATGAAGTCCCCCGCCCCTTCGTCAAATGAGGGGAGCGTAAGCACGGGCGCCTTCGTCAGCGACTGTTTGAGCCTATCGAAAGCCAACTGGCATTCTTCCGACCATTCGAATCGGACATCCCTGTTACAGAGTCTGAACAAGGGTGTGCAGATGGTTGCATAGTCTTTAATGAACGCCTTGAAATAGTTACTAAGCCCCAGAAAGCTCGACATTTCCTTTGCCGTTTTCGGGACTGGCCAATCGACCACTGCCTGCACCTTGACAGGGTCGGGAGCTAGCCCCTCGCTGGACACTTCATGCCCAAGAAACGTGACCTTGGGCTGGCAGAACAGGCACTTAGCGAGATTCAGAGTCAGGCCTGCGTTGAACATTCGTGACAGCACCTCATCAAGATTGTCAATCATCTCGTCAAAGCTACTGCCACGGACTATGACGTCATCAAAATAGCAGAGGCATTTTGATGGGATGATGTCACCGAGGACAATATTCAGCAGCCTGGCACAGGTGAAACTAGCACCGCTGAGCCCGAAACACATGCGAGTGAACGAGTAGTTGTTCCAGGGCGTAGTAATTGTGGCCTTGTGCTGGTGATCAGGGTTTATTTTTACCTGGTAATAGGCCATGTTCATGTCGAGCGTTGTGAACATAGTCGACCCTTTGAGCCCATCAAGCACATCGGCTATCTTGGGAATAGGGTAGGAGGGTAGGGATGTTACGGCGTTCAATCGCCGCATGTCACATACAACCCTAGCCTTCCCCGACCTCTTCCGGACGACACATATTGGGGACGCCCAGGATCCATGTGCCTCGACGAGCACTCCGAGGCGGACGAGCTCGTCCAGTTGCTCCTTCACTTCTTTTTGGAGGTGAGGAGGGATACGACGGTGGGGCTGACGGACCGGGGGCGCTTCTCCGGTTTCAATATCATGCGTGACTAGATCGGATAGACCTAGGTGTCCGTCAAACATTGACTCGTAACGTTTTAAGACGGATATTAATGCGGCTCTTTGAGAATCAGTCAGCTTGGCCCCGTCCGTGTTCACTGTGTTATCAAAATCTACATTTTGTGCTGACCTTTCGCCGTCAGAGAGGTTATCGAGAGGCTCTTCAACATAATCAATTTCCAAATCACCGATGGTGGTGTGACGCGGAATCGTGATAGGTTCCGCAGTAATGTTTCTCACTATGCAATGGACCTTCCCGCTGCTGACCCGGGTCACTGCGGGCGCTGCCTGCAGCCCGGAAATGCTGAGGGACGGTTCGAGGATGACGGGTCCGTCGAACTCACACGAATGTACGTACCCTTGCAGCACCTGTTCCGACCCTGGTGGTATCGATATATCATGGCCAACTACCACTCGTCCAACCGATCTCACCTCCGCGCTGACTGATCGTACTGCCCCCAAAGGGACAAAGACAAGCTTCTTACTCACCAGGTCAATGATGCATGGGACTTGTTCCAGAAAATCTAAACCGATGAGACAGGGTACATCTAAGTCCTCTGCCACATGAAATCTTACCTGTAGATCATGACTGCCTATTTTCATAGAGATCTGGCATTGTCCTGCGAGGGGGAGTGGCTGCCCGTTTGCAACCTTTGCTACTGTGTGCGTTTTGTCGATGACAACCCCTTCTAATTTGCCAACCATTTCACGACTTATGATGCTTATACTCGAACCGGGGTCCAGCACACAACTGCATTGTGTCCCTGCCAACAAAGCATCAAATGACAGGTGATCCCCCAGCGGAATACTGTCACCAGCTGCCAGTACACTGCGAGTGCGGTATTCTGGCTCAGCCGCGGGAGTCGCCTGCTCCCCGTGTGCTGAATCGCTCACGTTTGCTGCGGCCTTCTGGATGGATGCCGGGGACTGACGTCCCGTATTTCCAGCTTCTACCGTGGCGGTGACCGGCTCTACTGCGCCGGGAAGGCACCGAGAACCAGCTCTCACACGGTCGCTCTCGGCCGATTCGCCTGTCTTAGCTGCCGGCGCGCTCACTGCGAATGAATCGTCTGTTGCCTTAAGTTTGTCGTCACACACGCTGGTTAGCACCGACGACTCGCCACCATTCACCTGGGCGGGTCGTGCTGCTGAGCAGCTAGTCTGAGCTGGCTGCGAACGCTCAGCCCTGGCCGGGTCTCGTGTCTCATGCCGTTCGTTTACACGACTAAGTGGTGAAGAGTATTCGGGAGGCTCAAGCTGCACAGCAGTGTCTACTGCGCCGGATGAGGTCTGCTGGAAGAACTGAGAGTTCCAGAAGACGCGGCTTGCCCCCCGGGCTCCGCGTTTTTTGAACGGCACGCTGATCTGATATGCCCACGTCTGCCGCACCCGTGGCAGGTGGCTGTGCGATAGCGACGGGCCGCGCGGTTGTGTCCGCCACGCCCACACGCGTAGCACGGCCCGCGGCCGATCGACGCCTCTGGCGGCTGAGCGAAGCTCTGTGGGCCCGCCATTACCTGGTCAACTTTTGCCTCCAGTGATTCCAGGCGAGTTAGCAGTCGTTCGAGTGTCGCTTCCTCATCAATACGTCTGACAGGGACTTCGGGGGTAATATGTTGGGCTGACATGGCGGCCGCTCGGCTAGCTGCAACTATGCATTTAGTTTTGGCTACTGCCTGTTCAAATGACTCACATCCTGCTGCGATGACCTCAGAACGAATATTGACAGGGAGACTGGATAAGAAATATGTGAATAGGAGGCGGTCGTGGTTCTCTCCAGGGAAGGCGGCCCGCACGGCTGCTTTAAAACGGATCAAGAAGACCTCTACCGTCTCGCTTGGGTCAAAAGTCAGACATTGAAGCTTGGCGTGAGCTTCCACTACCCCCAGAGGCGCGAAACATTGACGGAGGGCATCTACTGCCAAGCTGAAACTTTGTCGCTGCCTTTGATCCAGGGATTCGAAGGCCTCTCTCGCGAGACCGGTGAGACATAGCGGTAAATATAGGAGCTGCTCGTTTTCAGGCCACGAGTGCAAGCTTGCAAAAATGTTGAAATCTGACAAGAAACGCGAGAAACTGCCGTCGCGTCCATTAAAGAGAGGGGGTGCAAATGAAAAATTCATACTAGCCATTGCGGCAGGGGCGGCCTGTGACGCGGTTGGAAAACGAGCAACTGGCGAACGGTCCATGCGAGTACGCCTAGACATGGTCCGATATCTCACAAATACAAATTCGATGTGACCGGCACACGATGCAGACGGGAGCGGCTATCTAACGTGAGCCTGCGCACAACGTGGGGCATGCATATTTTGATACTCTCATAACATGAATGGCATTCATGATAAATAGGCCCCACGTCAGAGATCAGAACAATAAGAGCAAAACAGAGATGACAACAAAACACACTCTCGTATCAACAGCAACGATGACCTTAATGACATTAACATGGCAACGCAATGAATAGTTTTCTAGATCAACTTTGTACGGATACGGACCAAAAGCTAAATGGTATGACAATTTTGAGTTCTTTACCGCTGCCACCACTGAAGACCTCCTCGAGGTAGGTACTTATCTGTAGACGGGCCGAGTGTTGTATTTCATTGCGCTGACGGTTCTTGAGTGAAGCTTTGAGAGAGCGTTGAACGTGCCAGAAGCACATGAGATAAAACGCTACCGTTCTTCATCTCAGGTGAGTTTATGCAGCGTCACCAATACGGCAGTAAGCACAATTCAGGTGTCTATGGCGCAAGACATTATGCGGTAACGACATTCATAGATCATACGTGTTTCTCAAATCTCTAGAAAACGTAATCAATCAATTCATGGCTTATCATGTCCTGATCCAGTCCAGTCTGCCCATATCATCATTCTCGCAACTGAATAATTGGCCTAGATTATAACCGCGCGCCATATTGGTAAAAGTGCCTCACCTTTCCATAATAATGTTTCGCCAGCAGGATGAACCTCCTACATATGTACTTGAATAAATGATGTAACTTACAATGACTATTAGTCTGGACGCCACACCCCCAAAGTTAGTCGAACGGCTGACTCGCAACTCATCTGATTAACGGTTTAGAATAAAATCGTAGTCAGGACATTTTGTGGCGCATTAGAGGGCAAGTTATCCAAGCGTGAAATGAGAAACTACACATTCGCCTAAGGACCAAGATGACATAGTTCGTTTTTTCTAAGTTCGACCCTCACTGTAATCGTCTCTTAGAACACAGCACGAGAATCGCTAGCTGAATTACTGAGAAAACTGGTTAGCGCACATTGATTTCACAGACGATTGATTTTATTCAAAATTATTTCTTCCTGGCTCTTATTTCCCAGACTCCTAGCTCGTATTTGCCTATATATACAGCCCCACAGGTAAAGACGACTTGTCAGAAATTATAATTGAACTAATCAATAAATCGCACGGCGTTTAACAGAAGGATATATCATCGGTGTTTAAAACTTATTTTGAAAATATTATTCATATCTCCAGTACAATGTGCGCTAACCAGTTTTATCAGTAATTCAGCTAGCAATTCTCGTGCTTTGTTCAAAAAGATGTTTACAGTGAGGGTCGAACTTAGAAAAAACGAACTATGGAATTTGCCCCTCGCCTTCAACCACGCCACGACATAGCCCACGATTCCCTTCGTCCCACCTCACCCCGTCCCCATCCCGACCGTCCCCACCCCAGCACCGTCCCCATACTCACGGTGACTATAAATACCCATACTCACGTCTGGCCGGGCTGGGCGCGGATCTCCGAGTACCACTTGATCTTGGGCTCTGTGCCGCTGGTGCGCAGCGTGAGTACCGCCTGCGGCTCGGAGAACGTAAAGGTGATCATCTGACTGGAGGACGACACGGGCAGAATGGCGCGCCCGTCCGGCTGGCCAGAGTCGTGGCCCGTGGTCAGGTCACGCACGGCGCCAATCCGGTACTGGCCGCCGCCCAGGGACGTCGGGTACTGCCGGGAGAAAGAGAAATAGGGGGTGAGAATGGTGGAGACGTGGGGCAGAATGATCAGAAACGGACGCGCAACTCATATCGTAGTTTAGTTTAGTTCATTGATTTCATCACCGACGCGGCCCCATTTTAGGAAGAAGTCCAAGTGTACAACACATCTCACAGATAGATACGCTGAGGTAAAACCAGTTGCGACAGCTCACACACTCAGGAGCACCGAAAAATAATGAAATTAAACCGTCCATAACCAATGAAACTAAAACCCCTCAGGCGGAGGCCCGTTCTTGGGGAGTTCGCCGCAAGAGGCGCCCATTGGCGCGCCGCAGCTGCGCCGTGCCGACCGTTGATAGTGGCCGCCGGCACTCGGCGCACACCGGAACGAGGATGGGTGCCGCTCAGCGCCCGGGCGTCGGGTACTTCCACCGCGAGAGGGAGTACTCGGGCAGCAGCGGGCCTTTTACGAGCTCTTTTACCAGTAACCGAGGCTGGGCGCAGCTGAGCCGAGGTCGCTGGACTCGCGGAACGACCGACCGATGGCGGGGCGCTGGGAGCCGAGCGAGCCCGACCACTGCTGACGTCCCATGCCGATTTGCCACGCACACCGTATGGCGTGAAGCGATTCAGCACGGAAGGACGGGTCGCGACACGAGAGCCCTGCCCATGGACAGAGGCGGAACGTCGACAGAGGACACTGGACAGGAGCGAGCAGAAAAAGGCAGAATTCGATGAGTTGGCTATTTCAGTTTACAGCGAATAGAAGCAATTATTAATGAAGATCATTCCAAGAGGCAAGAATCACCGTAATCTTAATATCATAGTCTAAAAATTAATGGCATTGCCGGGAACCATTCATTAATCATGCCTACAAAGCAGGACAACAGTTAGACTATTAGTAATCTCACAATCAAATCGAATTATCTCGATAGGGTCCATTCTTCAATCTTCATGTATAAGCGGCTCCAAATTGTGACAGGTGACGCTGCCTCTCTAAATCACATAACTTGTATTATATTTTGTCATTGAAAAAGAAAAAAATACCTAAATAAATCGACTATAATAACTATATAATTGAAATTCCCACTTCTGTAACGGAGTTAGCCGAGCTAAGGATTTGCCGCAGTTTGAGAACCAAGCCGCTACTGGTTTTTAGACACATCGTAAGTGCGCTTCGCTAAGCCAGATGACGCACAGTAGTATAAAACTGTGCTGTCATACATGGTACTCTACCATGACTTGCGAGTAGTATACGGAATCTACGCCTCATATGATGATACGCAGCTTTTTGGCCAAAACCATCAATTACACGACACGGCGCGGCTATCTCTCTGAATACCTTCACCAATCAAAACCTGACATCAACTCTGATTGCGTGTAATACGTGGGTTCTAGTGCCCGGAGGCGGCGGATCCATACGTTTAAGCCTGCCTGGATGAAGGACTGGCGCCGGTGGAACACTCGGCACGATGACACGGCAGAGGTGACCGACCGACCAGCGCGACGGGACGGTGTTTAACGGTGCTGGCCGGGAAGAGGCCCAAACACACCATGCAACTGCACAAATAGCCTCACGAGAAGGGGACAAGGAGTAGTGCAATGTGTAGACGATCCAGCCAGGGCGCATCCCCGGCTGCCTTTGGTAATGGAGCCTCTGTTTCGGCTAATCGATCGCGAAACCTTCAGACTCCTCAGACACGCATAGCTGTAAACCACGTAGCGATATGTAGGCAGAAACGAAGAAAGATGCTGTATGAAGGGCGAACGGTGCTTCCACAGTCATGCACCTTTCACACAGTCAACAATCAACATCCGCGAGCAGCCGACCTTAATGATTAAACATTAAGCAATGACCACTCAAATCACGGTGTCCGTATTTACCACCAGTGCACTGGCGCAGGCGCGGATACAAGGGGGGGGGGGCCATGGGGGCCATGGCCCCCCCCCTTGGCCGATTTTTTTTCTCAAAAATAAAATAAAAAGTTAAAAAGTTAAAAAGCTGAAAAGGGGGCCTCCTGAAAATAAAGTGGCCGAAATCCGATGAGTTTTTTTTTAACCTACCCACTTAGTTATTTCTTAGAAGACTAGCTGAGAAGACTTCTTTGTTAGAAGATTGGTAAAGCTTTTCATAACTTGGAGGTCTCTTATACTCACAGAGATGACCACTTTTACAGGGCCTCCTAACCTGCACAGAGGGCCTCCAAGCCTGCACAGATGTTGAGATGTTGCCTGAACAGCTAGATAAGCTCAATAGACGCAGTTTTTTTTTTTGGGGGGGGGGGGCCAACAAGTGGGAAGATGGGGCCTCCAACAGGTGGGATTATGGGGGGGGGGCCTCCTGGTTTCTAATGGCCCCTCCCTTGGAGATTTTCTGGATCCGCCCCTGCACTGGCGTGAATTTCCTATGATGACGAAGCAAATCATACGCTGGATATAAATGGTAGCTCACGCCGCCGTTTAGCTAAACACGCCAAAGAACGTGTGAAATATTGCCAAGCTGGAAATGACAGCGTGAGAGCGGGACCAACTGCGAGAAAAGCGAGCTTGACGAGTCACTTCTGACGCTTCTGTTACTACTGCACCGGGATTGGAGATCAGCTCCGCCCGATTTTAACCCGATCAACCACCCAGGTACGGCTTTGGGCCTCTAGCTACTTAGCTAGATGATCACATACATAGGTAGGTAAAACCGCCAGTAGGCCGGCTCGGCTGAGATGAATGGAGCGAGGTGATCTCGGCTTTGGGAGTTTGAGTAGTAGAGTCAGCCGTTAAACACGCGATATTCGGTTCTTATTGTCACTGAACCATGGAACCGATGGGCGATAATCCAATTAGCAGTCAGGTCAGGGAGGAAAGAAGGATGCATTGTTTTGGGTGCATATGCTTCACAAAAGATTGTAAAATGTTCCTTAGCATCAAGGAAACGCTACGGTTGCGAGGGTTGCAGTAAGATTCGTACAGGCTCCAACAGGAGCCCTCGGACGTCACAAACCAATTATTCCCTAAAAAAAAAAAAAATATGGGAGCGCGCAAAAACCCGTACTTGCCTATACGTCATCTCAGCGAAGCTCTATCACACGAGAAGCCGCATTTTCGCGGAGTTATTGCAGATGCACACGCGCGAGAAATCCCTGACAGTCGCACATATCTCAATGGTGCTGTTCTGCAAGGTCGCATGCAGCCCGCGGTCTTGAGCGGACCCAGAGACCGACCCGTCATAGAGCAACAGCCGCTCTCTACGACCCTCGGCCGGGCGTCCACAAATCATCTGGACTAGAGTTGCAAAGTTTCCCTACCGCACTACCGGCATGCCGGTAAATTTTCACTACCGCAGGTTTTTTCGTGGTATCTGGCATGTCTTGCCGGTAGCATGCCGGTATTTTTGATTTTGCACAAAAATAGAAAATATCAGCAGATGGTTTAAACTTTAAGCACTAAGAGGCTATCAAATTATAATAACAGCAATATTAGCCACTGCAAAATACATTTTGTGGTAGAAGTTACATTGCTAAGGGTAGGCATACCTAACACATGGACCTCAGCGATTCACAGGTTTCGTTATAATTAGGATTGTCAAGAATCTACTGTGGTCAATAAATGGAAGAATACTCATTCATGCTGCAAAAGCTCGATCAATCAGTAAGTCTAATGGTATGTAATAGGTAAAATACAACAAAGTAAATAAATGTTCATGACAACGTTCCCTAGGGGAAAAGGCAGAATCAAAACACCACAAAACACATTGTTTGGAAACTGGCCTAGAGTCCTGAGATGTGGTCTGAGATACTCTACAAAGTATTTGACACTGAAAATCCAGCTGAAAAGGCTGGTATTAGGTAGCCCTGAGCCTGACTTTGGTCCCAAAAATGAAATGAAAATCAAATAAACTGGCATTTTGTCTCATCTTTACAAGAAAACACAATATGCATACAAAATAAACAAAGTGGCGCAGAATGGGAACCAAGGATTGACTTTTTAGATCTTCTCTCCCCTAATGGAAGGATGTAAGATGATGACGTAATATTCATTCGTATGCCTTTTTGGTTTAATTCCTGAAAGGAAATGAATTTTCTTGTAGTGAATTAAACTCTCAATGTTGATCACATCAGAATTAAATATCGTTTTGGATCATTTACATCAACAAATCATTTATGAGGCAGTTTGCTATAGTTCAGAAACTTTTTTTTGCAGCAATTTAATCAGCTGGTTAAAAGCCTCTGTTATTATGGCGCATCTGTTTCGAAATCTTTCATAGTTGATAACCTTGTGTTTGGAGAGGAAGATTCTTCGAGAAAGCGGGTATTATATCGTTTTTATGCATACTATTTGGTGACTGTTCTCAGGACAAGTGAGTTTTTCACATTTTTCAAATGATTCGTATCTTATTCATGAGCCAGCAAGCCATGGCGAAAAGGAAAAAAGGTGTTGATCTCGCTTCCTCAGGCACATGGCCAAATCTGTAGGTACTTTTTATGTTGTGACCATCTAGATTTCAAAAATTTGATTTTGGTTGGTAGGTTCCTGCAAAATTTTAGGAGAATGTGGAATAGTAGAACACCTCTGAAATGTTAATGTGATTACTGCTAACTTGAACTGTCCAGTCTTCAGAAACAATTCAGTACTTTAAGTTCTTTTTGTCATTGCTTTTTTATGCTTTTTCTTACTGCTTTTTTTTGCAGGCAATACCTCTTTGATTACAGGTGATATTTTAACAGTTATAGACTGGAACTGAGTTTCAAAATTGTGGGTATTTGTGGGGCCAACTGAGCCAAAATCAGCCTGCTCGTAGTTGGGGTTGGACATTGGGTGGCTGCTGGGTGGGATCTGGGATGGGTACTGAAATTGCCAAAGTGTGGCATCTCTTGTAGGGGTAAGCTAGAATCAACATTGCAGGTTTTTTTTTAGTATGCCGGTAATCTGGTGGTGTTTTTGCTCGGGTCGTGGTAGCATGCCGGTATCCCAGAAAATTTTTGTGGGGCGGGGCGGTGCCGGTAGCAGCCTTTGGGG